GTTGGGAGGGGGAAGGGAGCTAGAAAATACACACAATCCACCAGAAGCGTCCTTTAGTCTTTGAATCAGAAACAAGCTTCTTAATAATTTCTTTAGCTATTGTATTATATAATCTCATTGCTACTATTTGTCTGAGCTTCTCCAATATTTAACTGTTTGTTGTTGTTATTTGGCTGTTTATGGGTTTTTATGTGGGTTATATAAACAAGTTGACACAATAGGGCAGGGGTGGGCAAACTTTTTGGCCCAAGGGCCACATCTGGGTATGGAAATCGTATGGCGGGCCATGAATGCTCACAAAGTTGGGGGTTGGGGTGCAGGAGGACGTGAGGGCTCCAGCTGGGGATGCAGGCTCTGGGGTGGGGCTGGGGATGAGGGGTTGGCGGTTCAGGAGGGTGCTCTGGGCTAGGACCGAGGGGTTCAGAGCGGGGGGGGAGGGGGGATCAGGATTGGGGAACAGGAGGGGGTCAGAGGGGCAGGCACTGGGTGGCGCTTACTTCAAGCAGCTCCCAGAAACAGCAGCATGTCCCCCCCTCCGGCTCCTATGCGGAAGCACAGCCAGGCAACTCTGCGCGCTGCCCTGTGTGCAGGCACCACCCCTGCAGCTCCCATTGGCTGGGGTTCCCGGCCAATGGGAGTTGCGGGGGTGGTGTTTGGGGTGGGGGCTGCGTGCGGAGCCCCTTGGCTGCCCCTATGTGTAGGAGCCAGACTGGGGACGTGCCACTGCTTCCAGGAGCCGTGCAGAGTGGGGCAAGACCCCAACCCTGCTCCCCGGCTGGGGTGCCAAAGCGGGGCAAGCCCCAGACCTCGGTTCCTGGCAGGAGCTCGAGGGCCAGATTAAAATGTCTGGAGGGCCGCATGTGGCCCCTGCGCTGTAGTTTGCCCACCTCTGCAATAGGGTGTAATGGCGCCTCATTGTATTATAAATTTAAATAGCATACTCATGGAATTGAAGTGCTAAGCAACATGAATAAGGAAGGCAGGCATATTTGGTAGCAAGTATTGTTCATCCAGTAGTCCATAAAGACACTAAATGCAGTCTATTAAAATGGGTATTTTTCCTTTCATAGTTTTTAAGAAAGTCATTGTTACAGACTTTCTTGTAAATATTTATTTTAAATTAAAACAGCACAAATTACTTACTATGTGTAAAATTTTCAAAAACTTCTTAGTGACTAAAGGAGCCTACCGACTTTCAATGAGACTTTGGCTGAAGTCAATGGAGCTATCAATTTACCCCCAAGCAAACAAACAATCTGGCTATCCTCTTTAAAAAGTAAGGCCCCAATCCAACAAACATTTAAGCACATGCTCAACTTTAGCACTTGAGTAGTCCCTATTTACGTCTCCAATGATGGTCAATTACAGGATCTGGGCTCCTTTATAACTATAATAATAAACAGAATATATAAGGTTGCCAAACTATAAGGAAGCTGTCAGGACTTCTACACCAATTGGATACCTTTTGTGAACTTTTCAACACAGTACAATCATTGCAGCCATGCATACGCTCCTGACCTCTCTTGTCCCTGTGTTAAAGGTCAACACCTTGGACTTACAGTAACATTCACACACCATCCTTTACTGGATATACTAGTAATAATGCACTGAAAAAAACCCAATAAACTTGTTGTAATAAACCTGCAGTCTATTATCCACACAGTGCAATCCCCAACTGTATGAAGGACATTTTTTCACATATGTTACAGTAAAACCCAGAAGTCCCAATCAAATTGGGTTCCCATTGTGTGAGGTGCTGTAAAAAAAAAAAAAAAAAAATGTACAAAGATGAAGGTCACTGCTCCCAAGACTCTGCAATTTATTCTTTGTGGTTTTTCTACGTATACATTCAGAGACTTAAGGTTGCTGTTTTCATTATTTTTGTAAAAAATAAACGCAGAATAAAAATAAATACAATTGTGGAGAAAAAACATAATTTCATTTCTATTTAATTTATGAAAACAATGTACTGCCGAGTAAATTATATGATTTGGTTTAACCTCCAGCTGGCTATAGGCCAAAAACCTCTCCACCTGAGGCATATGACCAGGTGGGAGGAACATGAGACTTACCTATAAGAGAGCCCTGAAGCTTTCCCCCAAGCAGCAGCTACAGAGATAGCTCCTGCAGTGTGCAGGGAGGTCAGTCAGTCCCCATGAGGCTCACAGAAAACAATTGTGATGCAGAAAGGCACAACACTTTTTTTGCAAAATATTTTGTGTTTTTACTTTTACTTTTATTTTTTAATTAAAACACAACTTACTCCATTTTTTCTCCAGAGAGATTCATTTTTCCTTTTCAGGGTGTATTTTGTTGTGGATGGTGGTGGGTTTGTTTGGGGGTTTTTTTGCATTGCTTTTTATGATTGATCAGCCTAGTCAGGTGGTGGAATTTTTTCAGGATTAAGGAATTCTGAAATTTTAAAAAGGTTTTTTTAATTCAAAAATGAAAAAAGCAAAAAATGTATAAAATTAAAAACTGATCATTAAACAAAAAAAAACAAAAAACACAGAATTACAAAGCTGCTGACACTACTGAAATTTCCATAAAAAGGGTTTTATTAATAGCAGTACTATTACCATAGCACGTAATTATGCACAAGGTCCCTATTCTGCTAAGCACAGTTTTCAACTTTTTTACCAGCTTAAGGAATGAGAAACACATAGCATTTTGTTCTGTGGAGCAGCATCCATTACTGCTGTATGCTATGGTGTTGAGCTCAGTACCATGTTTATCCCACGTGATAATTATTAGTCGTAGTTAGTACTATGGTAGCATATTGAGATCTCAAACAGAATCAGGACCTCAGTGTGTTAGGCATTACACAAATACGCAGTAAGGAACAGCCCCTGCCCTGAAGAGCTTAAGATCTAATACACCCTTCATAAAAATACTGCATATTCAGTCACTTAAACTATGTGGTTTATTGGTATCCAAAGACCCCCCACTTCTACAGACTCTTATGCATGTTTTTAACTTTACCATCATGAGACGTCCCATTGACCTCAGTGAGACTACTCACAGTAGTCAAGTTAAACATGCGCAGGCATATTTGCAAGATCAAGGCCCAAATCTATAAGGCTCATTTGCTAAAAACAAACAAAAAAACCTGTTAATGAAGGTAGAGTTGGGGAGGTAACCGTCAGCGAAACCCTGCTACAAAATATGGGTTCCTTCCTACATTCCTTGCACACCCAAAATTCTCATTATAGAAGCATCCAACTGAAATCATAGTTTTATTCAGAAAATCGACTAAAGAGTGTTGCCATAAAAATTAACTTCCAGAAAAGGGGAAAAGGCCTAACTTGGTTTCAGTGGACATTTGGGTGTGCAAGGAATGCAGCATGGGGCACACACAAAGCCAGATTACACCCTTGGATTCACATGCACACATCCCTTTGAAACCGATGGGAGCATATCTGAGCACCGAATTCAGCTTCACAATGTTTAAATTAATAGAAAAATACTGTCTTTAGACATTTTCCTTGCCAATTTCAAAATCACTCTAGTAGATCTATTTGGCTTTTTTATTGTCATGGCAAAATGGTTTTTATTTCCTTTTTAGCTAATTTTCTTTTCATTTTATACGAGGAAGAGCTTACATGCATCTCTAACTAAAATAGTAATGTTATACATTTTTGACTTTTATAAAGCCTTGTTCTGCAAATGTTTGTCATATCAGATGGTCAGTACCTGTGACAAGGTTCTCTTTTTCCAGTACAGTTTTATGAAACAAACAAGTATATGACTTGTTTAAAGCCATTTAAAAGAGAATTAAAAGAAGCAGGTGCCCCCTGTTTTAATAAGTAGGTCACCAGTTGTAACAATCGGGGGATGGAACAACGTCCATAATAGGGGAGATTGGTGGCTGCAGCCACATCTTAGATGTGAATAGTAGTAGCCTTATCACAGCACTCAGATGCCTTAATCATTACAAGTGTCACTATCAGGCAGCAAGTCCCTGGGGGCTACTGGACCTAAACTCGGGAATAGCTCCAGCTGGACAGGGTTTAGTGCAGGGCTGCACAGCTTGTTCAAATAAAGCCCCATTTCCATTAAAAAGTTGCACAAAGGCAGACAGCAAGCTTGAGCCAATTTGCTGAATGAAACACTTTTTAAAAAAGTGTTTCGGACACCGAACACCAACGTCCTCCAGTATTTATTTATTTATTTTTGCTTTGCTTTCAAGCCCCACTGCCATGCATTTCGGAAGAGCAAAACTCCAACTTTATTGGTCCGACTCTGCAGTAGAAACAAAAGTCACTCTTGTGACTACTCGGGTTTTCCAAAATTTTCTTCCTAGAGCAATAACACGTGTCCACCTTTACACTTCAAAGCCCTGATCCCTTCCTAGTCCGTTGTGTTTAGATTAATCGGCCTTTTCCTCAGTTGTTTAGTTTGTTCCTCTCAGAAATTCGCGAGCGCGTGTTGTTAAGAACAGCTGGAGCCCCTCAGCTTCCCCGCGGCCAGTGCCCCTTCCACGCACACTGCAGCTCCCAAACATCGCAGCCAGCGAAAGGTTCCCCTCGGACTAATGGAAACTAATGGCTCTGCCACGAGCGCCGATTTGCATCACTTAAGCAGCCCGGGTTTCCCGGGGGAGTTCAGGAGCAACTCACCATTCCCCCAGCGCGTGCCCCACGAAGGGAGAGAAGTTTGCAAACATTTTCCTCCAGTTCCCGGGCTGGGTTCTGGTCTCGTCTTGGACCAGTTAAGGCGGGGGAAGGGGGGGGCTGTCGCTGGGGTGCAAAGAAAGAACAGGGGCCCCGGGAGGCTGCCACTCTTTAGAGGGCAGCGGGGGCAGATGCCTTCTGCAGGCGCCGGGCAGCCAGAGCCCGCAGCCGCTGGAGCGGAGACGGGGCACCCCCCTTGGAAAGCGGTGCCCAAGGCAGGAGCCAGCCAGGCATCCACGCGGCGCCCGGAGCGCCCGCCCGCCCGATGCGGGAATGCCCAGCTGCGGAGAGAAGGAGCCGCGCCGGTGCCCGCTCTCGGCCCCTTACCTCGCCGTGACTGGAGGCAGCGCCGCACCCAAGGCTGCTCGCGGGGACTTTATCCCTCCCCGCGCCTGCTGCCGTCCGGAGCCAGCCCAGGCGGGGCTGCCTCGGCCTCGCTGCGGCGCCCTGTGGGTGGCTCCCCGCGGCGGGGGCGAGGAAGTTGCTGCCTTGACTCCGGTCTGAAGCTGGGGACTCTGCGGGCAGCCCCCTGGCTCGGGCGGCGGCTTTTCCTCCTGCCTCCGTCAGCAACAGCCCGCCCCGCCGGCCGGCCAGCCCGGGAGACGGAGCCGTGCGGGAGCGCAGAGCTCCGGGCTGTTTAACTCCTTGGCGGCGGCTGCTTCTCGCCTTCCCCCAGGCTGAAGCTGCTCTCAGCCAAGGACGTCTCCGCTGGCAACCGGGGGGGAGGAGCGAGGGTTCTGATGTGGGAACAGGAGTCCCGCCGGCTCGCGCTCGGTGCGTCTACACTGCACTGAAAGACCAGCAGCAGGGCCACAGGTGGCCTGGCCGGGATGGCTCCTTGAGCTGAGTTGGCTTGTGGGGCTGGAAAATTGCAGTGTTAGCCTTCGGGCTCTGCTAGAGCCTGGGTCAGACCCCGCGAGAGGGTGGGCTCAGCTCAGCCCAGCCCCCTGTCTGCATTGCAATTTTATAGCCCTGCCAGCCCAACTCAACTGATCTAGGCTCTGAGACTCTTGCTGGGGGTATTTTATCACAGTGTGAGCGCAGGGTTCCAACTCAGGCTCCCCTTCCATCTGCTCACAAATCACACTAACCAAGGGCTCAGACCCAGAACCCCACGGGGGTGGAGGGTGTGAGCCTGAATCAAGCTGGACTAAGGGTTCAAGCCCTATTGCTTTGCAGTGTAGACACAGCCCAATTAGACTGGGAGTCCCAATGCTCTGGGAGTCTGCCAAAAGCAACCCACAGTTCCACTGGACTTTCTTTGTCCTCTGAACAGTCAAGTTTGGTGAACAGTCCCACCAAACAGACACATTTGAGGAGGGCGCTAAGAAGTCTGGAATGTGGGTGGCTGGACTTGGGCCTGTGTAATGCAGTGTGAACACTAGTGCCCTGGTTGGTACCCAGGGTTCAAAAATTCATAACCTAGGGTTACAAATAAGTGTTGATGCTCAAGGCCTAGGTTAACAAACCCAGGGTCTGCTAACTCAAGTTCTCCTAACCCAATCAGAGGGGTCAGTCCTGCAAACTCTTATGCACATCAATAATTCTACACATGTGAGTAAAGTTACTGACTTGGAATAAGTACTTGCAAGATCTGGGCCATATTTTCTGTAACATCCTTCATACAAACTAAAAATAAATTTTAAAAATGGTGTTACCCTCACATTGTGTACATTATTCACCTAAGGTCATAGGCCCGGATCTTGCATTGAGCTGTGTGAGCAGATGTCTGTGTCCAAATGAAGCCCCATTGAAATCAGTAGGATTCCACAACATCTCTAGAAGTCCCCACAAATAGAACTCAGTGCATGGTCAGGGTCATACTGTGATCACTTCCAGTTCCCTTGCTGTTATCCTGCGACCCAGTGGGTTATGTCATACCATCAAGTTTCAAGCAAAAATCCCCATAGACATCAATTAGGGGTTCTTCACAAAGATCAATGTGGCATGATATGGGCTAGTGCTTTTGATCTCCTCCTGATGTTTTTGGTCGTAATATAGAGTCCAATCTTGTAAATATACAGGTAACTTTACTCCCAAGAGCAATCCCATTGACTTTGATGGTACTACTCACATGAGTAAAGTTACTCATTGTATATGTGTTTGCAGGTTTGGGTTATAAGACTCCAATCCTGTAACTGCACTGATGCACCCCTTCACCCACATCAATCCCCATAGAGTTCAGTATTACTCCATATAGACACAGCCAGCCAACTGAAGGATTGGGGTCTTGGATTGCAAACTATTCAGGGCAGGGTTTCCGTCTTTATTTGTCTAAAAGGTACCATGCTGAAAAGTGCCATTTGTATTTGAATAATATTTCAAACTTCTTTATGAATTGACTGTAAATAATATACAGTAGTTACATAGTTATATAATTAATAATAGCAAGATGGGAAAATAAAGTGACATAAGTAAAGGAGAAGATCCTGTAGTATGACTTAACTGAGCATTGTCCACAGAACAATGTAGATACTTGATGTCATTAATGATGCTGATGTACAAAAAAAGGCAGCAAATGAATGTACTCCACCAAAACCACTGGAGAAGAATCAAGTTTTACCAAATGGGAGAGAACAAAGTTAGTAAGCAAATAGATGATATTTTTACTGCATTTAAGGTAATCAGTGAATAGAAAAATATTAGATTATCTACTATGAGAGGGAAATAATTTACTTTGTTGGATAGGTTAGAGTCAAAAGTTCCACCTGTCTAACACATATGGTGGTCTTTCTAGAACCTGGTGAAGAAGACATCATAGTTACATGTAGTTAGTAAACTATCTTTTGCTTTTAGTTATGATATACACTTTACCACATGAGCCAATTCTTTTCTTTGGACTCCATTTGGTCTTTTTATTTTATAGACCTTAAGAAAAGAATATTGTTCAGTGTGTTTGCAGCCCCACCCTAGATTTTGGAAAAGAGCCACAGAAGCCAGTAGAGACAAACAGAGACCAGTCAAAGACTGCTATCCCCAAGTGTGGAATAATCATGAGCCTGGCCCTGAAAAATCCTAAAATTGGCTTCACAATAATGAACTTTTTAAAAAATCGGAGTTCTGTTTATTTAACTTCTGACTATTGTATCTTTAGGTTACACTTGAGTTATGTTTTTAAGCTTTACTCCACACTCATGGAGGCTGGAAACTTACTTTAAAAAAATTAAAGCTGAAGCTTGCACATATTCATATGACTCCAGGAGCTGATGATGTAGGAAATAGACAAAATCTCACAAGACACAAAAGTTGGCAACACAGCGATTGTAATGGAAATCACTAACATTCCACTTCGTCTCTGAACCTTCATTTTGATATGGAAAATTGATAGGCCGATTTATACTGCATTCTAGGGAGAAAAATCTTTTGAGTTGCGGAGTTGTCTACCAGGAAAACACAAAAATGAGAAGTTTCAAAAACGTTCATCTGCTTTCTCTAATATTCAATTCTAATATTTCTATAAAATGCTACATATGATAATTTTACCTTTATGTCTAAGTTATAGGCCTTGTTAACAAGATGGAATAATCTCTCCCTTGGAAAATCATATGTTATTCTATTTTGAATCCTTTGGGAGCAGTTCTGAAGTCCTCATCCACAACTTACTCAAGCAAAACGCCTCTTGAAGCCAATGGGAGTTTTATCAAGATCAAACAGAGAGATTGGCCAAAATGAAAATGTGGATAAAAACACCCCTAACCATTGGGGGAGTTTTGATCTGTTTTGCTTCTCAAAATTTGTTTCTCAAGTAAGATTAAGAAAGGATTTGAGGATTCCTTTCCCTTTATATAGGTTGTGGCCTGCTTTACTGTATTTTAATTAAACCCATCTGTGTCTGTTGCTTGTGCTTATTGGGTTTTCAAGATATATAATAAAATGCTACTATTCTAAGAAGCATTGTTTCTTCCTCACCCATATCCCTCATCTTTTTGAATTGCCCTGCTGGGTAACTTGTTTGTTAGCTGTTCATACAATCTTACCAGGGCCGGTGCAAGGATATTTTGCGCCCTAGGCGAAACTTCCACCTTGCGCCCCCCCCTCCCATGTCCAGCCCCCACCTTCCTACGGCCAAGTTCCCCCCAGGGGCCCAGATGTTCACAAAGTGCAGGGGCCATGGGGGGGGGGGGCTGCAAAGATGGGGGTCGTATGGGGGCTCTTCCAGGGGGTGAAGGTGGCAGAGAGGGGGGTGCATGGGATTGTTGCAGGGGGTGGAGGTGGCCAAGAGGTGGAGGGGTCAGGGGTGTAGTGGCAGGGAAGAGATTGCATAGAGGCAAAAGGGGCTCGTTGCAGGGGGTGCAGTAGCAGGGAGGGAGTGGCACAAGGCAGAAGTGGGCAGGAGGGGGTTGTTGCAAGGGGCTGGCAGGCGGGGGCGGGTGTCTGTGCCCAGGGTTGTTGCAGGGGGGTGAAGGTGGCACGGAGGGGTTTGCACAAGGGAGGAGTAGGCAGAAGGGAGATGGCAGGTGGGGGTGGGGTCCCGAGGTTGATGCAGGGGTGAAGGTGACCGTGGCTGGCTGGGGAAGGGGGTGTTGCTGGGTGGAGGTTGCCCAAAGGCAAAAGTGGCAGGACAGGGTGGGTTGTTGGGGCTGTGGGTGCACAGGGGAGAAGGTAGCTGGTCGGTGGGTGTTGAAGGGGGTGGCGCTGGCTGGGGGAGGGGTGCCTGGGTTGCTCCCACATACACCATTCCCCAGGCCAGGGACTGGACCTGCCCACCCCGGCGCTCCGCGAGCCCGTGTGGCTCCTTGCGGCCTGGCTAGGTACCTTGCAGACGGAGTAGACACCCAGCTTCTCCGCCCGAAGAGCAGAGCGCAGCTGCGCCTTCTTCCCCACGCTGCGGGCCGAGCCGGGCTCTCCGCCGCCCCTGGGGCTCTCAGCGGCGGCACAGGCAGCCAGCCCCCCCCCCCGTACCTCAGCCTCCTGCCGCCGCCACTAAGAGCCCTGCGGGTGGCGGGGAGCCTGACTCGGCCCACGGTGCAGGGAAGAAGGCGCAGCTGCTAGCACTAGACCATCCCCTTCCCCGCTCCGCTTGCTGCTCCCCCGGGGGTAGGGACTGGCTGCACCGCGGGCTGAGCCGGGCTCTCCGCCGCCCCTGGGGTTCTCAGCGGCAGCACAAGCAGCCAGCCCCCCCGCGCCCAAGCCTCCTGCTGCCGCTGCCGCCGCCGCCGCCGCTGAGAGCCCCAGGGGCGGCGGGGAGCCCGACTCGGCCCGCGGTGCGGGGAAGAGGGCGCAGCTGCTAGCACTAGACCCTCCCCTTCCCCGCTCCGCCGCCAGCTGCTCCCCCGGGGCGACTGGCCACGCCATGGGCAGCCCCTCTGGAGCCAGGAGGCGGGGAGCCGCTTTTTGGCGCCCCCAACCA